AAAAAACCCTCAGAACATCAGAACTGGGGAGCCAATATGGCTGCCACCGAAAGTCTCAGTGACCAGGACATCTTTCAGTGGTTCTGGGAGGAACCAGGCACTGTGTCAGGCTGCCAGGGTCCATAGTGCCTGGGGTTTAAACTATGGGAAAGCCAAGCGCTCTCCTCACTAGGATCTCTACCAGGGTGGGGATCAATTCTTTTTCAACTGATTTTGTTTCCATTGTGACAGAATTTAATTCAGTCACTCCAAAACTAACTTCTAATAAATTCTATCAGAGAATCTTGTTTTTATGCTTTAAAGTTTCTATAAACCTTCCTGACATAACCCTGCTTTTATGGCCAAAACTAGTCTGAACTCTGAATCTAATCAGCACATTTTCCAAATAATATGTGTTTGAATAGATTTAGGCATTTGGAAAAGAATTGATCCCCCTCCCCTCCTGGACCCTGCCCACTAATCCACAATGTTCATGTCTTAAGTGGGCTGTTTTTCAGCAGCTGATCTGGGCTGAACTTGATTATGCAACATAACGCAGACCTCGCTCCAAGCGTTGTTCTGAGCTAGCGCAGCATTAGCTGGTAGTTGTACTGCCGATACACAGCTCACATGGTAACAAGAACCTTAAAGAGGGGATGTGTAGAAGCCTGTGCTGTTGATCACTGAACAAAGCCTCAGAAACTGCTTTCAGAAAGATATGTGACTGTGGACTGAGGCTAACAGACAGACAACTTGCGTGTCTGAAGTAATGTGCTGAGTATGTGATCAATGGAACACAATTTTTATAATCCTGATATGTTCCTTTGCAAACAACAGGAAAAACTAATGTGGCTTGGCGATGCTCTTCTTGTTAGGCATTCAGAGTTGATGTTGTCATTTCAAAACCCAGCAAATAAGAGCAAAACATGCATCTGACTTTTCATAATATAGTAACTGAGGTGGACGTGCAGGCTTCCTGTGAGCTGAGTGCAGGCCATGAACAGGGCAGATGGCTCTTTGGCCTGCACACTGCAGAAAATATCCCTCTTTGCATGTCACTGAATCTGGTTTGGGATTTGAATGGGTTTAATAAACACGGGAAAAAAAGGTGTAACACAAAGACTTCACACTTTGTCTTTTAAGAGAGAAACTTTATTAAGAATCTGAACTAAATTCAGTCACTAGTTTGGAGGGATCTTATTCTTTTTGCACTGCAGAGCAATGCAATGACCCACTTTCTCTTAACATTACCCTGCTATTTCAACAAAAAACAAAACAAAACAAGAGTTACTAAGCACATCTTTTTAGAAGAGTATATGCATTTGATTGCAATTTTCTTTCTTTTGTAAACTGTTGATAAAGACATTAAGGAAAATGACAGATAATTAAGAGAAATCCATGTACATAAATGTATATAGTCAAAATGTGCAGAGTAAATGTAACGGGTGAATTTCTATTTTTAACACTGACTAGATAATGTGAAAAAATGTTTTTCTTTCCCTTCTTTCTCAGTTGGTTTTATCATGTGCTCATTTTTTTTAAATCTAATGTTTGTTTTGTAGTTTCTTATAAAATGGTCCCACTTGTGTTGTGCACATTTGTGTTGCATGGAGAGTAGCCTTCTTGTTTTATTATAGTGACGTCGCTGAGCATGTCAGTGTGTATGACAAAGTGGAGTTCCCCTGAAAAAAACAAAACTCCACTGAGAAATCATTTTGAACATGACTAATTTGGCATCCATTTATCCCAGCAGAGCTTGGTCTTTCTGCACTGGACCTGTTTTAAAATATCGCTAAACAATCAATAGCCAGTGAAATGTGAGATTTAGACGCTTGGGTCAGGAAACTTTTTTGCCACATTTGAGCTTTAGGTGTAGTCACTGAATTTTTCAGGTCAGATGGGCTTTAAAAATACACAGGTTTGGTTGTTTTGGGTTCATGAACATTTCTGGTTTTCACTCTCTAGACTTATTACAGAACCGCTGAAAAGTTACAAAAACTGTAGATGCAAACGTATCCAACTCGTTGCACACCTTGCTTTGTAACAAGAAACAGTCTTGGAAAGTGGGACCTCACGATCCTTCTGACTCTCAGTTTTTTTATTTCAGCAAAGTTTGGGAAGAAACAATGGATCATTTTGATATTCAAACACTGAAGGAGTATGATTTTAAAAGAGAAAACAAACTCATCCATGTGTCGCTGGTAGATAATTCATTCTGATGCCAAGTTTTGAAACTTTAGTGTTCAGGCACTTATTCCATTGAGGCCTTGAGTGCATTGCTAAGATTGGGACGTGGGATATATTTTTGATAAATGCAAACAAAACAAATGTTGATTTATCTTGGTTAAAATTAAATAAAATATTGTAGTCACAGTATATAATAGCAGATGCCCATTTAGTCAGAAAAACCAAGGACTTTTTTCCAAAAACTAACAAAAGAAACCTTCAGCTCCATTTATTTAGCACACATTGTGATGGAGGCAGACATCCCAAAACCTGGACCTCTGCAGATAATCAGTTATCACATAAAAAGGCCTGTTGGTCAGGACCCCAAGTTTTGCGCTGGTGTGGAGAAATGATGCATGTGTTTGTGTTTTTCCTGCTTCCTGTTGTTTTTGTTGCTGTTTGTGAAAGCTTGTTTTCCTCTGAATTCTTCTAAGGTTTCTGTTCATGTATAAAACAGCAATGTTCATCTGCAGCAGAGACATTTAAAGAGTTTTGTCCCTGCTGAGACCTTAACGGGATAGAGTTCATGTCTGAGGGGGACGTTGCTGACTTGTATCTGTATACGTGCGAGTGCCTCGGCTCACCACAAATCACTTCCTCTGCAAATCGGAAATTTTAGGTATTTTCTATTAAATGCAGTAACTTATGGGCCAGTACTATATTTACTCAGTGCAATGCAGTTATTATAATAATACAATTATTAATAATATTTTCCTTTCTTTTTTTGTATTTGTACAGAACAAATGTGTAAAGATCAGTGAGGAAAACGTGAGCTTTTTGATACTGTGACTCATGGTGTTTAAAAGTCAGTTTCTCCCTGTACAGTTGTGATTTTCCCCCTTCCCTCTCTTCTTCTTTTATAGAATAAAAAATGTTTTTGGTGCAATTTAATGCCTGGTGTCTCTGTGGTATTTCTTACATAAGGGTAATGCTGATTCTGATGTCAGCATTATTGGCCAGGTGTGTTATGACTCCAGTACAGAGGCTCTCAATGTGCTTTGTAAGTCAACAGGAAATAAAAAAAATAAGAATAAATATAAAAATAAAAAGTGCAAAATAGGAAGCAGTGTATGTGCTGAAGATGAAATAGAGACAATATTTATAAATTACAATATCCACAGACCAGTCGCAGGATAAACAGGAGTTCAGAGGACACAAGTCAAGTGATAATATTAATAAGTTCTGTCAATCTATATATATACACTATGTGAAAGAGAGAATAATGAATTTCACATCAATGAATTAGGTTACTACAGATTTGTTAGAAATAAAAAATAAAAATCTAGTTTTAAGCCCATAAACCCTTGTTTATTATTGTAACTTTACAGAGCATTATTTCTGAAGGATAATGTTAATGTGTATTTGTATTGTCTTTTTGTTATCTGTAAGACATTTACTAGCAATAAGATACAGTGTGACACAATCCACCTGTAAGTTGAGCTGTCCACCACTAGAGGGGGCACTGTAACAGGATGAGGACACAACTGAAGGAAAACCACAGGGGAGGACAAAGTGCCTGCCATACAGCTCAGGCAGGAGAGACAGTGTCAGCTGAAGGACATAAAGTTCCAGGTGTAAGCATCTGCTGTAGTCAATAATTAGCTCATTTAAAATATAGATTGCAGCCTTTAAAAGTTAGTTTTCTCTTGTTAACACAGCGTGACTAGGTTTACACAAGAGCCTTTCATTTCAATTTAAACAGAATAACACTGAAAAAGGCGCATGAACAAAATCATAAAAATCTCTCAGTGCGTATATGTGTGTGTTGGCTTTCAGTTAAGCTTTGCCGTTTGTTTTAAATGGATTTATTGGCCTCATGCAGTGATGAGCTTGTCAATCATTAACATGCAGTGTCAAACAGACACACACTACACAAATGTAATATAACATAACTTGTGTACCTTAAGAAATTTGGTGGCCTGAATAACAACACTCAGTCAAGTCAGGAAGTAACAGTCGCACTGTCAGTTCAGTTATTTTATGTTTTATTTCTGACTGTTCTACTTTCATGAATCAAACCAGTTCAGTGTCATCCTAACTGCCAGGCTCCTTTTGACCGCAAAACCAGTCTGGATAGTTTAAGTTGTTGCCTCCCACACAGAGTATTAGTGGTTTGCAAGCAAGCCACCTTAAGAGCAGTCTTTATATCATTTCACAAGATAATGAAATGCTTATAAACTGTCTAAGCAGAAAGATTTCATGTATGTGTGCTGGATTGGGTATATCTGCAAACAAATCAAATTTTTCTGCAATAGGCAAACTGTGCTTGTGCAATTGTTAATGACAACTTTCTTCAACTCCACAGCTCCTAGAATTCAAGTCAAAGCTTGACTCAGTGAAATCTATAACAAATTAAACCCAACATTGGTTCACACTGGTTTCAAAACCACTCACTCATTCGAGAACGAAATAAAGTGAATGCAAACATGGCTGACACAATTCAACAGAACATCAGTGTTTGGGAATGGGAAAGCAAGCCTCAAAACGGTGGTGTCAGACATTATTTACATAACTCAAAATGAACACTAAAGTGGACATTTGGATGTAGTTGAAACATCAGCTGCTGTATGGATCTCTCTGATAGATAATGAACCTGATCCCCCCCAAAATGGTGCATTCACCCAAAATTCAATATGGAGTG